GCACGTGGCTGGGCAGGCTGGGCCGCAGAGCTCGTAGTGCTGGTTTGCCGGGCAGTCGGGACCTGCGCGGCGGGGGAAGAAAAGTCAGGGGTGGCGTTTGCAGAGCTCCAAAACCTTTGTGCATGAAACCCCTAAAGCTCCCGTGCCAACCAGAAATCCTCCATGCATGCAAACCCCAAATATTTCATGCGTGCAAGCCCCAAAGCCTCTGTGCAAACCAGCCTTCGTGCGTGCAAGCCCCGGCTGCATCTATGCAAGCGAAAAAGCCCTCGTGCGTGCAAGCCCCAAGCCGCGCGTGCAAACCCCAAGCCCTTTGTGCGAGTGAAAAAGCGCTCGTGCGCGCAACCGCCGAGCCACTTCTGCGCGTGCACCCGCCAGGAGATCCCCCTGCCCCGGGCCCCACGTACTGCAGAGGGCCGCGGTGCGCCACTGCCTGATGCTGATGCCCTGGCTCTGGCAGGCGGTGACGTAGGCACTGATGGAGCTGCAGACGGTTTCCTGATGCCCCTTGTAGAGGCACGTGTCGAAAAGACAATCCTCGAAGTAGGGAGCCGGGTCGATGGCGCTGTGGCAGGCAGTGAAGGGTCCCCGCTTCTTCACCAGGAGCCCGCAGTGTTTGTCGCCCCGGTAGGCTTGTTTCTCCTCTTGGGTGCAAACTTCGCAATCCTCGGTGCAACTGGCCCTGCAACCGGGGACGTCGGCCACCTTCCAGGAGTCGGCAAATTGGATTTCGTCAGTAGTCAGCTGCCCGTTGGGCAAAGTGAAGTCGTCCTGGGGGTCGCTGTTGGCATTGCCGCAGAGGCCACACACAGCCCCCGAGTAGGTGTTGGGGAGGATGACTCTCGCGTAGCTGTACCAGTCGAAGGTGACTATGACGTCAAAGTCAGTCTTGATGAAGCCGTGGACACCTTTGAGGTAGGCCTGGAGCTTGTTGTCATGGTTGAAGGGCAGATCCACCAGGATCCCATTGACCTGGAAGGGCATCACAGGGTGCGTGACACCATGCAATGACTTTGAAGCCCTCCAAGACGCCACGCAACGAGCTTGCAACTCAACCGTATGCCATACAACAGCCTTAAAATCCACCAGACACCAAGCAATGACCTTGCAAACCAACCAGGCGTCATGCAACGAGCTTACAGCCCGCCTCAACACCACACAACAAATTTGCAACATGCCCGAGCTCCATGTGATGAGTTTGCAGCCCACCCAAATACTGTGCAACAACTGTACAGCCCGCCCAGACACCACGTAGCAACCCACCCAAATGCCCTGCAATGTGTTTGCAACCCAGCAGGACACCATGCATCAACCTTGCAACCAAACCCAACGTCACGCAATGACCTTGCAACCCACCTAAACGCCAAACGAGGACCTTGCAGCCCACCCAGGTGCCACGCAATGACCTTGCAACTCAACCGGCACCTCATTCTCCCTTACCTTGAGCTTCTGGGGGTGTGCCTGGCTGAGGCTGAGGGTCATGTTGTAGACTTTCAGGGTGACCTCCTTGGTGTAGGAGACCACACGGTTGCCCCGGTTGTTGTTCTCCACAGTGACGGTGAAGGGGACGAGGGTGGGGTCATCGGAGCAGAGGGCAGCAAACTGGTAGATGCAGGTGCCCATGAAATCGTAGCGGCGCCCATCAAAGGTGGTGTAATGGGGGTCGCCGGTAGCCACGCAGATGGAGCGGCTCTTGGCCACGCACCGCCGCACACCGTTCACTACGTCACACTTCTCCCCCACCTTGCAACCAGCTTTCTTGCACACCACCATGGCCAAATCCGGGTCGCACCTGCACTGAGATTGGCAGGCCTCATCAGCCCAAAACTCCTCCCCGGGACGGTAGTAGCGACCATTGTGGGTGCAGCCGCAGCTGGCCACCGCCACACACTGGCCACCGCTGAGGACGTAGCCCTCGTTGCAGGCGCAGGTCTCCACACAGGGCTGGGTGCAACTGGCGGGCGCATCCCGGTTGGTGCACGTGGCTGGGCAGGCGTTGCCACAGGCTTCATAGTGGCTGTTTTCGGGGCAGGCTAACACTGGGGGGAAGAAATGGGGTGATTAGAGAGAGGGAGGATGCGGCAGCATCACGTGGGTATTGCAAAAAGTTCATGCGACGAGCGCTTTGCGTGCAACGTCCTGGGGACGGATCTCGCACCGCACAAATGCACCGAGCGCTTTGCGTGCAACGTCCTGGGGACGGATCTCGCACCGCACAAATGAGCGCTTTGCACGCAACGTCCCGGGGATGGATCTCACACTGTGCAAATGAGCGCTTTGCACGCAGCGTCCCGGGGATGGATCTCGCACCACGCAAATGCACCGAGCGCTTTGCACGCAATGTCCCGGGGACGGATCTCACACCGTGCAAATGCACTGAGCGCTTTGCGTGCAACGTCCCGGGGACGGATGTCGCACCGTGCAAATGAGCGCTTTGCGTGCAACGTCCCGGGGATGGATCTTGCACCGTGCAAATGCACTGAGCGCTTTGCACGCAACGTCCCGGGGATGGATCTTGCACCCTGCAAATGCACCAATTATTTTGCAAGCAACACCCTGGAGCTGGACATTCCCCTGTGCAAATAACACTGAGTGCTTTGCATGTATCATCCCATGCTAGATATTCCTCTTCTTTGCAAAAACCACCCCACCACGTAGACCGGGGAGGAAACCCGTTGCTTACAGCAGCCTGATGGCGTCCTCCAGTCATGCACGACAGCCCCGTGTTTCCTGCAGGTGGACGCATAAGCCTCCAGCACCTGGCAGAAGATTTTCTTCGCCCCGGCGCTTATGCACACATCGTAGAGGCAGTTGCGGTAGAAATCCCGGGGCTTGACAACATTGTGGCAAGCCTTGAAGGGCCCCTGGAAGCTTTTTTTGATGAGACCACAGTACTGGTTGCCCCCGTACAGCTCCTTTGCCGCCTCCTCGCACACCGGGCAGTTGCCTTCGCAATAATCCCAGCAAAATGGGTCGTTTTCTTCGAAGACTTTCCAGCCTTTGGCCCAGTCTACCAGGGCGTTGAGGTTGTTGCCGCTCTGGGGGATGTCGTCTTCGGGCTTGAAGTTGAAGTTGCCGCAGAGGCCGCAGGTGTGTTTGTAGTAACTGCTGGGGAGGTCGATGAGCAGATGCCAGTTCCAGTCGTACATTACCCGGAGCCCAAAATTCGTCTCCAGCACGGCGCTGAGCCCGCTCTGGAAGATGTGCACCTTGCCATCCTCCAGGCTCACCGGGAGCAGCGTCACCATCCCGTTCACCTGCGGGTGGGGAGCACCAGACGTGAGCTCAACGCACACGCACCAACGTGGGCTTGGGGTGGGCAGCAGCCTCCCCGCGGCACGCGGTTGCCCCACTGTGGCAAACAATCACTTCTGCAGCCGTTGCTCACTGCAGCGTGCAATCACTGCCCGCGACTGCCCGCTGCACTGGGCAATTGCTATTGGGGTGCTGCAGCGTGCAATCGCCTTGCTCTGGCGATGCAGCAGAATGCAAGCGCTCACAGCACCGTGCAATCGCATTGCAGCAGCATGCAACATCTCCGCAGTTGCCCACCGCAGCATGCTGGGGTGTTGCTGCAACAGGCAGCCACCATTATGGCATGCAACCACGTGCTGTGGCATGCAACACCCTGCTGCAGCGATACTGCGCTGTGTAGCCACTTGCTGCAGCAATGCTATGGGTATGCAGTTGTCCCCTGCAGCGTGCAACCACCTGCTGCAGCCAGGTTGAGGCCACGGAACCACTGCTTGATGTGCAATCACTGCTGTGGTGATCCTGCAGCCTGCAATCACCCACTGCAGCGTGCAATTGCCACTACAGTGATGCTGCGACATGCAACCACCCACTGCAAAGGGTGATATTTGCTGGGACGATGCTATGGTGTAGCAACAGCTGCCATGGTGTGCAAGCACTGCTGAGGAGCATAATTGCCTGCTGCGGCATGCAATCGCCCGCTGCAGTGGTGCTGTAGCATCCAACCACCCATCGTAGCAATGCAAGTGTGCAGCGTGCAACCGCCCGCTGCGGCATGCGACCATTCACCAGGGTGCGCAACCAGTGTTGCGGCGCTACTAGAGCATGCAATCACCCGCTGAAGTGTGCAGTTGCTGCTGTGGCGCTGCTACGACATGCGATCACCCGCTGCAGTGCGCAATCACTGCTGCAGCGAGCAACCACCACTACAGCGTGCAACCATGCACCGCAAGCTCCGTGCCCTCCTGGCAAGATCCAAACTTGGAGCCAAGCCTCATTGGGGGCTGCTGAGATGCTCTGTGCATCAAAACCCCTCCAGTTTCATGACATCGCTGCCTTCATCGGGCTTTACTTTTGCCTCACCCAACTCACATGCGTCGGCTGCCACCGCAAACCTCCTGGGGGGTGTCCCACCCACTTTGAGGTTTCTTGGAGACCTACTGCAGCTGCCTTTGGTGGTTTTGGCTTCCCCAAGGGGCAGAAAAATCGCCTCGGGTTGACCCATGCAAGGCAGCGTATTCCCGGCATATCCCAACATTGCAAAAATCCACATTCCAGTTTGATTGATTTAGCCAAAAATAACGGTGGCCCTGATGGAGCAGGAAGAGGTGTTGAACATGATGGAGGAGATGGACAAAAAAGGAAGTGGGGAAGAGATGGATTAAAAAAAAAAGAGGTGGAGAAAGGCCAATTTTACCTCCATTTTCAGCCAACTCACCCTGACTTTGCCCAATTCCTTCCGGTGGATGGAGATGTCTTGGTCATAGACCTTAATGTTGGCCAAGCTCACATAGGAGACTGATTTCACCCCACCACGGATGTCATTCTTGCCCTCCACCTTGAAGGGTACCAATCTGGTGTCATTCCCACAGGATTCGACCATGGTGTAGGTGCAGGTGCCTTGGAAGTCGAAGTCGAGCCCATCGAAACTGTGGTAGTGGGGGTCCCCCCAAGCCCAGCAGGTGGCAACCTGGGATGGGACACACTTGGCATGGCCGTCCTTCAACTTGCACCTCTCCTTGGGCCGGCACTGGAGGGCTTTGCAGGGGTCTGGAAGGAGAAAAAAAAACCCACGGGAGATATCCCGGTGAGGGGCACATCCCATGTCACCATGCAAACCAAGCATCTTCACCAGGGTTGAGGTCCCACCAAGTGTCCTCTGCTCCCCGTTGGGCTTTGGCAAGAGATTGGCAGCTCTGAGATGTAAGTCAGAGCACCACAATCCATTGCCAAACCCGAATTTCCCCTTTTCAGCTGTCTTTTCCCCTCCATTGCTTGGAAAAGTGTCAAGATTGGGTTCATCATCACCCAAGACTGCACCTGTCCTTCAAGAAGGTGCCACCATGGTTAAAATAGGACATCTGGGTGGATGCAAAGCCAAGGGATGGCTTTTCTGAAGCATTTTGCTCCTCCAAAATCTTCCCATCATATCCCTGACCCTCTTCGGGTTGGAGGTGGGATCTGTGGCCTCCATCCCCCCTTGCTGTAGGGTTTCCACCTCAGCCCACATCTCTAAATCAAACATCCAGACGAGCCCCAGGATCTGCTCTGCTCCAAGATCCACCCCCCCCAACTCAAGCAACCCCATTTTTCCTTACTTTTATTGACACAACGCAAGACCCCATCCTGGATTTCACAGGTTTCGTCGTCAGTGCAGCTGCGGCTGCTGCAAGTCAAGCCCTTGCCGGGGACACATGTGCAATGCTTCTGGCAGTTATCCTTGAAGACCGACTCGTGGGGCTGCAGGGTGAGAGGTTGCAAAGCGTTGCGATGAGAAGAGCTAACTGCATTACACATAAATGCATAAAAGCATGTAGAAGGGGGGGAAAGAAAATATTGAGGTCTACTGGAGAGAATAAGCAGCTTTGCAAAATGCAGAATTGCGGAGGAATTTATCACTTTTGTTGCAAGAAAAAAAAATGCAGAAAAAACCCATCCCTTTGCCCTCTTGCACCTCCACTGAAGGAAAAATATGTTTATATTTTGTGCTTTCAGCTGCGGAAAGCATAGCTGCTATCTGGGCATCCACATCTGTGCTAGCGCCTTCATGCCAAGCGATAAAAGAGATGGAAATGCCCCAATTTTCTTCCTATGAAATCACAGAATCGCTTTGCAGATGGAAGATTTTGAGTTTGGTTTTGTTTTTTTTTTCCACAAGGTGCCTTGGGCCGTGCACACATCGCCTTTGGAGCAACATACTGCAACGCAGGCAGGAGGAAAATGTTAAAAAAAAGAAAAAACACACACACACCCCCCCCAAACTCATGAGATTACTACCTTGTAATATTCCCCATCCACAAAGCATCCACAATTTTCCTTGGGAATGCAGTCGTGGCCATCGAGGATGTACCCTTTATCGCAGCGGCAGCCTTCGACACAGGTTTTGGGGCATTTGGAGGCATCTACAAGCCCTGAGCAGCTGTTGACGCAAGCGTTGTTGCAGAGGAAGTAGCTGCTGTTGGCCGGGCACTTGAGGGCTGGAAGGAAAAGGGCGACAATCCCAAGACCCAACATTGGGGGGAAGAGC